CCTCTGAGTTAGTATTGACTTGATAGCAGTGGCTAAGAACACATTTAAAAAGTCAAAGGGGGAACAAATGTTAAGGTAGTAGATTTTAAGCCAACTACATCCCGATTCATCTACTTTCCAATGCACCTGTCTGATAGTAAGGCTATTCACATCCCTGGTCTGTGGTCAGAGGGGATTCTCCAGAGGCTTCATCCATGTGAAGACCCGACAAAATGATTATGGGATTGCACTGTCATGCACAGCCTTCTGCAAACTGAATACTCACATTTAAGCTCGAACACAGTTCATTCCACCAGTCTTGGATTTCATTATTACGATCCTTGGATCAGAGGTTTGTGTGCTTCTTACACATGAACTGGGCTGACAGCCCACTTAGACAGTAGCTTATTTTAAGACAAACCTTTAGGACTCCAGCTGCTATTCCTTCTGATAGCTGCTCGCCATCTACTTCCTTCCCCATACTTTGCTCTAGCACCTATATCGGCAGTGATCTCTTCATGATGGTAAGTATCAGGTAGGGCGACATCTTAAGAACTAATTGTTCTTAGATTAGGGTTGCGATGAACTGTGAACTCAAAATCCACTCATGTATCTATCGTTTATATATGTTCTTGCTCTCATTTAGAGATATAGCCTTATCATTTTATTGGAGAACACTATAAATCATCCCTATGGGGCATATTATAATCCTATAGCTGGTATCACTAATTTAGCCCATGATATGGAATTTTTAAAAACTGTTAAGAAAAGCAAAGTGTGCATGTATATGACATCTTTTAAGACTATTATACATGGATTGTTGACAGATTAAAAACCTATGTGACTGGGCACTATTTCCCTTAATTTTGATGGCTGAGGATAGGGCAAAACTTTCAATAATGCTCCTTCATTAAGACAGAAAGGTGCCAGCTAGACTAAGATGTCATAGAAAGCAAAGCGTATAAAAATAGGAAATAGATGGTTGTTTTAAGTTGCTATTTCTTGGGTTCCAGAAAACAAGAGAACTGAACCAAAGTCCAATGACTTCAAAATCTATAAGGTTGGCTTCTTCTCACACTAAGGCCTAACTAAGTTCAAGAGAGTAGTCAGTTCCTTTCGTCTATAACAGATGAGTCTAAGGCAAAGTTCAGTTCACGTAATAGTTTCCAAATTGGATTCTTCTGGTGTGGCCTATGAAGGTTGTTCACAGACTCTGTGATTATTCAATTTCTAGCCTTTTAAACTATTACCTCATTATAAAATTAGTACCCTTTAGACAATTTAGTACCATTCAATTGAGAAATACTGAGCACCTAATGTCTGCTGACCACTTCTAGGCATCAAGGATATTAGAGCAATGAAAAATGCAGGCAAAGACCTTGATTCTGCAACGTGCCGTCTAACACTCTCAGCAGTGCCTGCAGGAAGCATATGGACCTTCCTCAACCTAAACGATGTTACTCTGAGAGACTAAGGTGGACCTGACACATGCCAGGGTATTTTCAATTGCCTCACATGCACGGGAAAGTGGGACGTTGTCTTTGGGAGACTGAAGAAGAATTGATGCATTTGAAGTATGGTACTGACAAGAAATAGTACAAATACTATGGACTGTCGAGAGAACAAACAAGTTGGTCTTGAAAGAAGGGCCAGAATGCTTCTAAGAAGCAAAAGTGACAAGACTTTGTTGCATGCTTTGAACATGGAAAAGAGCATCACGTTTTGTAGGGGGTCAGTGAAAAAGAGGAAGACCCTCGATGAAATGGATTGACACAGTGGCTGCAACACTGGGCTCAAACCCGAAGTATCATTGTGAGGTTCGTGCAGGACTGGGCGGCATTTCATTATGCTGTACACAGGGTTGCTATGAGTCAGAACCAACTCACTGGTACCTCACAAGAGCCTGAAACAGCTCATTCCCTGGGATGTGGTTGGTGTGATTTGGAAAATTAAACACAGAATGCAAGTACGTAATACGTATCATATAAATTCTAACTAGAGAGATCAGGTAAGGGCTAATCATGAAGGGAGGTTACAGTGCTCCACAGATCTTCCTGTCCTTGGGGAACTGGCCGCATTTCAAACAGTAAGTACGATATGCTATTTACAACATGAATGAGTCTGTCCCAGGTCTCACCCTGGTCTTTGGACTTAAGTCCCGTCAGGAGCACAAAGGATGATGATACTCCCATGCAGTGGGTCACCTTGTTTCTCCTTCCAATGCCGTGCTGGCAGTATGATCAAGAGCCTGAACCAGGAAGTTCCAGATCTTATCACTCAATATGCTTCAGCCAAAGTTCTCCCCTTTTCATTGTGTCGCCCTCTGTCTCACCTCCTCCCATCCACAGGCTGAAATCTCAGAGTCTTACAGAGAAAATGCATGCTGCAGGCATTTCAGGCTCTCTGCTTGTCAGTGATGAGTTATAAGATCAAGCTTAATGCAGAGCTAGTGAAGTACTGCCTCGCCTTAGTTTATGCTCTATCTATGATTTCCTGGGAGAGCTTACAGGGACATCACTGGGGTACAGGGCAATGCTTGAGGATGCCTGGCCAACTGTACCA